GTCAGCAGAAGGGCTGATTTGCCGGTTTTGTCAAGTGGAGGGGCTGATTTGCTCTACTTTTAGGTAGAGGGGCTGATGCGCCACAACAATGGACGTAGAGGGGCTGAATTGCACCTTCTGCCTTTTGGAAAATAAGCAGTGAAAAGGTCAAAGTATATTTAAAATGCGGTGCTCACTAGCTACTAGGTAAACAACCTCTGACATTCTACCAAAAAACAAAAAGAACCTCTGACAAATTGAAGCTGCATGTGAAAATTGTGCCTTTTTTAAACCCACTGAATTCGGAATATGGTAAAGTTACGAGTGATGGTGGAGGGGACGAAATCATGGGACGATTTTGGATGATAACAAGTTATGCAGGGGTTAAATTAATAATTACATTATACGCATAAATCCTCCCATCATTTTTCGTCCTTCAAGATCATTTCACGATTTCGTCCCTCCATCATTACTCGTAAAGTTACACATGTGGACGCAACACAAGTTTGTATTCGACTTAAAATCAATTGTTAATAAGTGAAATAGTTTTTTTTAATTAATCCATAAATTTTTTTGTTTTATATTTAATATGAAAATTTCTTACTTAACATACTCCTCACATACAAATTTGCAATGAATTTTGAGTTATATTATCTGTCTTAACACGTCTTTTACATGTAAGCCCGGTATCTTAACTTTGAATCTTATTAGATGGTTAATGATGGGCTTCCCATAATAGAATTTGAACTTTAATACCATATGAAAATTATGTATATAGGTTTAACACAAGATTTATATCTAACTTAAAACCAATTGACAATAAGTGGAGTGACTTTCTTTATATTTAATGTATAAACTTTTTTATTTTATATTCAATGTGAAATTTTCTCACTTTAACACTATAAATTATAAATTTCCTACTAATTAAAATCTTTAAAAAAGTATTTTTTTGGGTTCTCTAAGTTAGGCAGAACACATTATTAACATATTTATTGTAATTTTTAGGCAATAATTAAAATAGAAAAATAAAAAAGTTAATTATAATTTTATTAATTAATTTTTTAATAAATTAATTACAATACAACTACATATTAAGAATTTATAAGTTTTTTTAATAGAGTAATTACAATGCAACTAAATATCAAAAAGATACTCATGAACGGATTGATGAGTTGACAGAAAATT